TCTTACTCAGAAGAATTTTGTTTAACACTGAAGTATTCCCATAGAATTCGACTTTGTCAAAGGCATATCCATTAAAATGAGTTTTGAACAAGAAAAACCCAATATATAAAACATATCCACAAACACAAAATTTTTGGAATGACAGCAAGCCTGGGACCTTGCCATCTGGCTTCATCTGTCTCCTACAAAATGAGGGCATAGCATCTGGAATAGTTTGAAAACCACTTTGCTGTGTACCATGTTCTTTGAAATTGTCAGCTTATGCAAGACTTCATATGGAAACGCTCAGTTATTTGGAATAGTACTCTATTCTCGCAAACGTGTTTCCCAGTGTCATGTTGGTTTAACTGTGAAGGGGACTCATTACCTCCCACTCCGAGAAGGGAGTGGAAAGCATCTGGGGCCACAGAGACATAAACTGAAGTGGAAGTCAACATCCCCCCTTCACCCTGTAAATATCAGAGTAGGCTCACAGCTCCGTCAGCATGTCCATCCTTCCTTTAGCTCAAAATAGCTCGGTATTTGTAATGATTTGCCAATTCTCTTCTTAAACTAAATAAAAAGTCCTTGCATTCTTAAACTAACTTATACACTACCACATCATTTCAGGCTTACTTGTTAAACGGAGAAAATGAAAGTTTTAACAATTTTTCTATCTACCCCAGAATGCAGTGTATGGGGGGGCACTTTCAAAATATTATATGTATTACTTTGATCCATAAGGGCTCCTTCTAACCAAAACTGATTAGACAGTAATCAGGCCCAAGTAAACAGCAGTGCTTTGGAAGATAAAGAACTTGTATTTCTATGTTTTAAACTTAAACGTGGCAGGTTCAGGATGTCGATGACTGTGTGCACACCATACTTCACTTGGCACTACAAGAAAATGCAGATTTGAAAACAAAATTATATTCATTTTTGGTATTTTGAGACAGGTCCTCGCTCTGTAGCTCAAACTGGCCTTGAATTTGTGATCCCCTCGTTTTAACTCCTAAGTATTGAGATTATAAGTATTCTCCACCACAATCAGTTCAAAAGTTTTGGAGTCAGGTAGCGATGGTGCAGCACCTGGGAGGCAGTGGTAAGTGAATCCCTGTGAGTTCAACACCAGCCTGGTCTACAAAGTGAGTTCCAGGACAGTCAGAGTGGTTACACAGAGAAACCCTATCTCAAAAAAGCAAGCAAACAAAATAATGTGTTTTGATTCTCCAGGCATGGTGACACATGCCTTTAATCCCAGCACTTCGAAGGCAGAGACAGATGGATCTTAGATCTCTGAGTTCAAGGCCACCTGGTCTATAAAACAAGTTCCAGGAGACTACTCAGACCCTAACTTAAAAAAAGAAAAAGAAAAGAAAGAAAACAAGACAGAAGCCTCATTTTATCTAGCAGTGGTGTTGCTTTGCTACAAAATGAGCTACAAAATGAGCAGTTTTATTCAACAAAAATCAGTAAGTTTAAAAACAGCAACAGTGTATGAGTTAAGAATTCAAACTATGGTTTGAATATTTTTACCAAGTAAAATACAGGGTGATAATTAGTAATCTATAAGAAAACAAAACTGACAGAAGAGTTAGAAAATATATAACATTGAGTAACCATGTCTTTTACATTTTCTATGTGAGAAGTTGAATGTTTTTCTGTCATTCTGCCTCTCACCCAATCCTAAAGATGGCTATAGGTGTCCGCAGCAGAAAGGTCTCCTAAGAAGCTGTAATACCGGTCCGCACAGGGATAACACCAGCACACTTGGCCATATTTGACCCAAATAAACTGTAGACACCTAATGACGTAGCCCTGCCACTCAGCGACAGTCACCAATTACAGAAAATAAAGCTAAGCTAATTTCTTCCAATTTTATTAAATAAGTGTTCCATCCCAGATCCCCCAGCCCCAAACCAATACAAGGTCTCACTATGTAGATCTGGCTGGCCTAGAACTCACTATGCAGACAAAGCTATCCTTGAACTCAGAGATTTATCTGCCCTTGACTTTTCAGTGCTGGGACTAAAGGCATGTGGTACCATGCTTGTTTTAAATAAGTTTTTAGAAAACACAAACTGATACTATTTACTATCATTTATTAATTCTATCTTCACTGAGTTAGAAGTGGGCAGAACATCTTACACCCAATATTTTTGGTAATTCATAATGTTTCCAGTTTGAATTTCATAGAAGCCATAATCCACTAGGAATTCTGATTAATCACCTACATAAACCTCCTCTGAAGTTTGACATTTTATGCTGTGTTGATCAAACTTCCTAAGCTTTGCTTCTCTGTATAGGAAATGATGACTGGCTTACAGGATTGCCAGGCGGCTTAAGCATGTGATATTTAGGTTTCCATGACAAAATACTGACTTACTGTTTCAGAGGTTATAGTCCACACGGTGTCCTGATTGCATTGTTTTTGGAACTGTGGTAAGGTAGAACCTCATAGAAGGATGGAGCGGAGAAAAAGAAGAAGTTTCTTCTTGCCTGTAGAAACTGAGAAGGGTCACAGAAAAAAAGGTGGACCATGGTGCCAACATCCCTTTCAATGGTACACCCCTATGGCCACAGGCTGGCAACCAAGCCTGCGAGTAACAGCCAGCAGGGGACATTAGTTTAAGCTCTACAGCATGACACCCTAAATCTGGACTTCAGTGCCGAGACTATTGCTATGTCTACCTAGCCAGCCTCTCCTACCTTCTGCAGGGGCCAACCATAGCACTGTAGATGCGATTAGAAGTCCCTGTAGGACCTCACAAAGAAACGTGGGCAGGGCCTGACAACCCCATTTATTTTTTCATGTTTTACAACAGGCCTAATTATGTAGTCCAGGCTGGCCATTAATTTGAGGCAATTCTCTCTCAGCCTCCTAAGTCTTGAAAATTACAGGTCTGCTCCCCCTGCCATGCCTTTACCATCTCATTTAATCATTAGACCACCTCCTCCATTTAAAAGGAAAAAAAAAACTTACAAACTACTTAATTTTGTACCATCTCTTCAACTCTACAGAGTTTTCAAAACTGCTGTGACCAGATCACCGGGTAAATAAAACAGGTGCAGAATAGCCGTAGAAATCTGGAAGAGAAGGCTTAGACTAGTTGGGGCTGACCAGATTTTCAGTCTTTGCAAAAGCCACTGCTTAGGACTGGCGGTCAGCAGCAGGTAGGTATGCAAGGTCCGGAACAAACCTTTAGCATGAGGCTGGGTTGGCTTTAGGAAGTTCCTAAAAACGGTGTTCCTTTGTAGCCCTACAAGACAGAACAGCACCCTCTGTTCAAAACACACCTTAACACTTCTCAAACACCTCCCCAGTTCCTAGAGCTGCCAATGGCTACAGCTAGGGGACATGGGAGATTAAAAGGTAAGAAGAAAGTAAAGCAAGAAAACAAATTAGCTGTACATGAAAATTCGGTGGGCCAGGACTGGAAGCACCTAGGGAGGTAAGGCAGGAGGATGGCGAGTTAGAACTCCAGTGTGCCTGGCCACAGAGTACGTTCCAGAGCAATTCGGGGAGGGGGCAGGGGAGAAGAAAAGGGAATCCTTAGTTCTAGTTGCTACTATGATTTTGGAACAAAACTGAATATTCTAAGGAAAAATAAAGATCACACAGTGTGCACACACGAGCACACATAGTTCTTTTTGAACATACAATGAGCTAGGCCTAAGGCAGCATCAAGTTCAAGTTACTGGTGAATCAAATGTACTTTTCACAGATCTACCATCTTCCCCAGTCTCCAACTTCCTTCTGAAAAGGCAGTCTCCTTTCCTAAGACAGCCAACCTGTAGAACAAAAAGTGAGGCCCATGCCTCACTCCTCACTTGGCTTCAGCTAGAATCATTCAGCTCACAATGGTTACATTACCTTTCACACCTAATTAAAGGATTTCCTTTGACCAAGGGCATGGAGCGTGAAAGTAACAGTAATTGGTAGATTAGAGCCAACACGAACTCAGTGGGCTTAATTAAAGTAAACGAACCAGCTATCTCTGGGTCAGCCCATCCTTTTAATACATGAACCACCACCATCGTCTTACGGTTTTTGAACACTGGTTATGGTTAGGTTTACACTAGGTAACAGCTGATCCAGAGGCAGGTCCTATCACTGCCATCTTCTTCTTAACTACCAATCTTTATCCAGAAATAGTCACCGTTGTGGCCAGGAGTACATACAGATGAAAATATCTTCAAATCATCAGTTCAAAATGTCCAGTCAAATATCACAGCGAGCCAAGAAAGGACATCTAGCTAAAGCTTACTAAGAAAAGGTTGGGAAGTAAACATTTCTATTAAAGACACGAAAGAAGCTCTACACTGCCTCCGATGACTTACCCCAAACTTATGAGTAGAACTTCACAAGCTATTTAGATCTCGCATACTTGGTTTGTTCTAGTAAACATCTAAAACCCATTATACCATTCCAGGCTGTGGCGGCACACACCTTTAATCCCAGCGCTTGGGAGGCAAGGGCAGGCTGATCTCTGAGTTTGAAGCCAGCCTGGTCTATAGAGTGAGTTCCAGGACAGCCAAGGCTACACAGAGAAACTTTGTCTCAAAAAAACAAATCCAAACCACTATGCTTTATCAAAAGCAAAAGAACTAAAAGAAAAAAACGTAAATTTGGAAACTGAAGAATACAGGTTGCTACCATGAAGTATTTATCATGTGCAATTAACTCCACGAATTTTGTAGGAATCATATATAACCAATTTAACATATAAATTTAGGTGAACATATTTCAAAATTGTTAAAGAGAAATCTATGACTTCCTAGCTGATCATATAAGCTGCAATTTCTGTTTTTTTTTATTTCTCAAAAGCTAAAGAGATAAACAAAAAAATTAGCTCATATACTTAAGCCTGACTGGAGTACCTCAGTACTTACTACCACTGGGAGAAGGCAGCAACATTCATTAACTACACGAAGGGAAATTATCCTTTATGAATTCTACATTCATAGACAACACATAAAACTCTCACAATAACTAAACCAAACACATGGGAGAGAAGAGATTCTTAAAATTCTCAGTTTAATTCTACCCAGCTGGGAATATATTGGAGAAACAGTAAACACGGTAACTGGCAATGTGGTCTGGTGACCACAACCTCTTCCCACCAGTTAGTCAACTCATAATAATTAAGACTCAAATCTCTCAGACTAAGAAAAATTTAAAAGTCTCAATGTACAAGTTATTGGTTTTACTTGAAGTATTGCTTTAATTCAACCATATTAATAATGTTTGGCCTGTACACTGTCTATGACATTTTAAAGACCCACAAAATGTTAATCTTGGCTAACAAATTTGAAGAAAGTAAAACATCTTTAAAAATTTCAAAGCCACCGAAAATCAGGCCAGTTATATTTCAATTGTGGAGAAAATTTAATGGTATTTTAAACTGTGAGATATGATTTTTTTCCCCATAAAACACCGTATGTAATTATTTCTTTAAACAAGTCAATGAATATCACAAAAAATACTTATAATTTGTTTGTAATGAATCCATAATGTTCTCTAGCTGAAAATATAGATACCCTGCATTATGTAAGATAAAAAAGAGAAAATTTCCAGAATCACTTTCATAAAATCAATTACAACTGAAGGCTTTCTGCATTTAAAAATTAATGGCTTTCAAGGAGGATGAGGAACTATGATCCTTAAAGACACTGAGAGCATCCTGACGTCTGCAATGAAAGGGAAAAGCTACTAATCCTAGTTCTTCAACATTTATACATGCACTATAAATTACAGCTCTGTATAACATTACAATACCATCCAAAAGAAAATAAGGATATACAAAATATTTGATAAATAAAATTATTGCATTTAATGTATTTTCATAAAAATCCAAATCATATTCCTTAATGTTGTACCAAACAATGCCAGTTCAAATTAAAGAAAATGTACATCAACACTACCTGAAAACAAAATTAAGGAGGTATAAAGCCCCACTTAAACTTTGTTTAATTTGTGTCAAGTGATCATGGCAACAAAGACTATTAAAATTATCTTATAATTATGCACAATGAATGAAAGCATAATAGATAGCAAAGTACTTTTCTACCATAAAATTATTTACACCCACTTTATTCAGCTAGAAACACTAGCTTGAGAGGTACTGGTCTGGTATATTCCACTTGAAATAACTTCTCTACAGCAAACAATTGTCTTATATTTGGAACATGTTGAAGAAAATAATTGTCTCATCATTTCTGTGTTTTGAGTCTTGATTATTGACAGTTCAAGGTATTGTGGGAGAATCCTGGTGTCCTGGATGGCTCGATGAACCCATTAAGATCAAGCAGTGTCTGTATTCTGAAATCCTCTCCAGTCCATACAAGTGCTTGTCCGTGGAGGCGGCAGGTCCCGGCTTCTCCTACTGGCACTGGGGTGTGACGGGCGAGCGTGTGTTAGGAAAGTTTCACCCCGATTTTGCTCTGTTCCTTCTTCATCAGCCGCTGCGCTTCCTTCTCCATTTTCTTTCTCTGTTGTTCTGCTGCTCTCTTTTCTCTGTCCGCAATTTTCTGCTGCCTGAAAAGAAACACATTTCCATCTTTACTTTCATAAAATACTGTACAGGTAAAATAGCAAATAAATTATAAAAAGGGTGCCTTCTTATAATCAAGAAATAAATGTTTAATAATGTTTAATAGAAATGTTTAATACTTTTCTCATTTCTCTGAAAATTTCAAAGATTTTTCAATAGGAGCATTTCTGCTTATCTTAGAAGATAACTTTACAAAAGCAATGCTCTCTTTCTGTATAAATGGATGAGATGGGTCACAAGCTGAGATTTTCCAGTCACAGCATCAACATCTCCAGGGAGAAGGAACCCAAATCTCCTTACTTTCCTTCTTCACCTCATTTCTATAAAACTCTCTACTTCAGGGGGAAACTATCCAAAAAAGTTTGAAATTGTAATCAATTCTCTCGTTATTACAGTATATTTTTAAAAATCTGCTAAAGGATGTTAGAAACACATTGCAAAGAAGAAAGGATTTCAGATGGATCTTCTACTCACAACCAAGAAATTTCCAGATTAGCATTTGAGCAGCTCCATCCGGCACACTTGCAGGAATTTATCAGATTCACACTACGACTCTAGCTGGCTCTTAGCCTGGTATAACTCCACAGACTAGAGATGACAGAAACACTCTGCTCAATTGGCTTGTGTAGCGAGGGAGACTGGGCCTGAACACAGGAAAGAGTGAGGGACCCTGGGTTTGGTGTGAGACAGTAACTCAGGTCCGTAAGACTGAAGAGGGAAAGCACAGGCTACCACTGAGCATGGAATAGGGAAGACCAGATCTATGCAGAACACTCCAGACCGGGGCATCTACATTAGCATATGTACAACTGAAAGTTTATGAAAATGAGGCTAATGCATAAATATAATATTCATAAACATTCGCACACCTCTGATTTTCAGTAACAACTACAAATGCAAGGAGGCAGTTACAGATGACCAAAATTCCACGAAAGAGAAAAAATTCTTTGTGCCAACACTCCAACTTTCATTATCAACTAACCACATTTAAAAAATGAAAGAAAACTGACTTTAAACTAGTTCTACTTAAGTCAAAGCATTAGCATTAAAAAGTAGAAAGGAAAACAATTATAACGGATTGAATAGGTTATAAGAAGAGAAACTTTGACATGGTTCCTATCTAAAATGAAAATATCAGTAATCAACATTCCAGGCACAAGAAATAATTCAGATTTCTGAAGGCAAATATATATATATCATCCAGAATCATGTCTGGAATTGATTCAGTACTAGAGTAAATACTCATTGAACTGATCCCAGAGCTAGAGGATTTGAGGGTGGCAATGGAACACAGATCACTGTCACAACGCTTAGTGTCTTTCTAAAGAGAGCAATGCCACAAGCCTCCATGTCCTCCATGTCCTCCATGTCCTCCATGTCCTCCTGTCCTCCTGTCCTCCATGCCCTCCTGTCCTCCACGTCCCACACTGTGCAGCACACAGCATGACTTCCGTCTGTCTAATATTAATAATCTCATTCAATTAAATTGTCATTATAAAGTAAAATATTCCTGTTTTCATTTTTGTTTTATTTAAGGAACACGACAGAGGATGGAAAAGGGAAAGTTTTTAGAGTATTATTAAAATGCTGTGCTCACGGCTGTAGATTCCATAACAATGTCATTAAGATTATTAGAGTCAAATGAACAGCTCTTCCTTTTATCCTTGTCCTACACAAAAATAATTATTAAAGCCCCTCAAACTTCCTAAAAATAAGTAATTTTTCACCTATTATTTCTAAAATTCAGAATAAAAATGTCTGTCTGATGATCCTGGCAACATAATTACTTTAGTTCACAATTTTAAAAACACCTTTTATTAAAGACCCATTTACACTGACCAAAGGGAAGATAAATATGAAAAACTCTCACAACTTTAAAAATATGATTCCCTGTAACATTTAAAAAAAGACATGCTGAAAACACGATTTAAAAGAAAAACAAAACAAAATATCTACTTAACTGCACCCTCTGCTGGTTATTTAAGGTTACTATAAATTTGCCATCAAAGACAAGAAAAGAACAAAAAACATAAGTACAAGGAAAAAGTAATTCATTTTATATCCATAGAGCAAAAACAATCATAATCTTAAAATAAAAATTCTATCACTATTTGCTATTTTTTTTATATTTTATGTGTATGTGCATGAGCCTGCATGTATATATGTGTATTATGTGTATACAAGTACACACAGAGGCCAGAAAGGGACACTGAATCCCCTGAAGCCTATATGGGTGCTGGGAACAGAACCTGGGTCTTCTGGAAGAGAAGCAAGTGTTCTTACTCACCAAGCCATCTTCCAGCCCCCGCTAGATGATCTTAAATACATATTCGAGACTAGACGGATTGACATTTGAGTGATAACACAGTTCTGCTTTTCACTCTTCCCTTATTTTTTGACCCATCCTGGAAATACAAGAACTAGCCAGGTGGTGGTGCACGCCTTTAATCCCAGCACTAGGGAGGCAGAGAGAGGTGGATCTCTCTGAGTTCGAAGCCAGCCTGGTCTACAAAGTAAGTTCCAGGACAGTCAGGGCTACACAGAGAAACCCTGTCTCAAAAACAAAACAAAACAACAACAGCAGCAAAAGACCAAACAAACAAACAAACAAAAAAAGAAGTAAAAGAACTAAGTTTATTACTCAATGAAATATAGAATGACCATTCAACAAAAATGAACTTTAAAACTACAGAATATTATTTGCTTTTCTGTAGCATGGGTTGTTAATCTGACTTCTCTGTTTTATGATACTTCTGTGGACACTAAAGTAAGACACATGGAGACTGTAAGGGTGCCTTATTAGCTACTTCTATTCAAATGTGAAGTTCAGACACTATATTAAACTGTGAAACAATAAAATCAAAATGACAACTTCTAATTTAGAACAGCACATCATTTCACAGGAGATTGTGACTACCACATGGTATGTATATGCAAGCAATTTTTACCATTAAGATTATTATGTATTGATTTAGACAGTGCTTTAAATCCATATAATGAGATATGAAATCTGGAATTCAGAACATGTTCAATAAGAAACCAGTTCTATAAGGTTCAGTGTGGGAAAATAGAGACAGACAGACATTTGGCAGAGTAGGTTTTCCTTAAACACAAGAAATAAATTAAGTAAAGTAGGCTTTACTTAAACACAAGAAATAAATTCAAGCGTGTACTCAAGGTGTCAGAGAAATGTCATCTGCATACCTCAGAACTTCTTCTGCTTGCCAGGCCGCATCTTCTTCTTCTTCCCAGGCATTGGTATTTTCTTGCCAGGTATCTAAGTCACCTAGTTCTGACTGCATTGGAAAACAAAGAGAAACTAAGTTCGTAAAGAGTCGTCATCTCTCTACACGGCAGTTCAAAACCAAAACAGTAAAAAAAAGAGCAGTTTTAAGTCTAACCCAAACTACCACTCCCCACATCAGGCACGAATGCTCTAGCCTCTAGCCTGCCTAGAACTACAGGTTTCACAACAATGCTGTGATGTGTGACTTTCCCAAGTGGTAAAAAATGTTCTGCACTACTGGTATAATAGCGGCACGCCTCATGGAGCCAACCACTTCTGACTGGATCTAAGGTCTGCTTCCCAGCAGGGAATTCACAGCTGGTACTGTGAACCTGGTCATGAGCCCACGGCTGGAGAGGACACAGGCATGAGTAGGGAACAGGCGGGTGTGCTCACTAAATTAACTCCTAAAGATTTACAGTTACGCCTATAAGCAGGTGCTGCAGTCAGTTTTAGTCAGAGAAGCCTCTTTTTCCAATCGGCTACAGTTTCTGTAGACTCCTAAGTGCTCAAAATGACCAGTGACGGCTGAAGGTTTCACTCTAAGAGGATGCCTCCTTCAAGACCTGCTGCCCCCACTAGTCAGGCTCAGAAAATACCATGGAAGTGGCAGCAGGAATGGGTAAAGCACTGTGAAATGCAGCCGCTCTGAAACGGCACAGCAACTGCACGCCAGACCTCACAGGAGCTGTGACTAACTGCGGAAGACTCACCCATGAGGAGTCCCTCTCAGCATCCCTCATGGAAGTGGGGAGGGCTCATGAGGCCCCCTTTACACCTAACAACCTACAAGGATTTACTGATAGCTGGGGGATGGGAGCAGGGCCGAAAGCCATTTTCTTCAGTGGTGCAAACACTGGCAAGTCAGCAACCAATTAAAATTCATACACACACACACACACAGGAAACTGAAGAAAGACTGTGTGTGTGTGTGTGTGTTGAGGAAGACCAGATTTATATGTTTTTTGTTTGCTTAGTTTTGGTTTCTTTCGAGACAGGGTTTCTCTGTGTAACAGTCCTAGCTGTCCTGCAACTAGCTCTTGTAGACCAGGCTAGACTTGAACTCACAGAGATCTGCCTGCCTCTGTGTTCTGAGTGCTGGGATTAAAGGTGTGCGCCACCACTGCCCGGCCATTTTATGTTTCACAGAATACTGTTTTCTAATTAATTTTGGTTTTCACTTTGTTAGTTTGGACTAGAGAAGAATAGATCCTTTTTTATTGTTTGTTTCTGTCTCTTTTTGGGAGCAAAAAGGAGAGAAATGATACAGATCGACTCTAGAACTAACGGCAATGTCTAACTAGAATAATCTATGTTGGAAATTTTAAAAACAAGCACATACTTTCCAGTTAAGCACATGAAATTTAAGTGCCTGCTATGCAAACATGACAATTTGAGTTTGGACCCTCAGCATCCAGGTAAGAAACTGGACATGACAGTGTGTGCCTGAAACCTCAGTGGTTGGCAAGGGAGAGAGGAAGGTCCCAGAGGTTCCCTGGCCAGTCTAAACAACTGGCGAGCTTGAGGTTCACTGGGAGACTCTGCCTCAAAATGTAAGGTGGAAAGTCATAGAGAAGACATCAGAATTGATTTCACCTCTACACACACACACATTAAGTACACACACACACACACACACACATCCTAAATATACCAAAAACATCCAAATGAAGCCAACAACAGTGAAAATATGTAAAAGATGACAGAAAAAAGTTGGTATTCTTAGTATAAAGTCTCCATATACAAATGATGAACTTCAGGACAAAAAAAGAGTATCTTATCTGAAAAATACTCTACACTGACAATCAACAGGCAGCAGCGAATGCTTACTGGGGGAGAGGAATTTTCGTCAGGGGTGTAGCCACAGGTAAGGTGTTCATGCTCCCATAAATTGCCACTGTAAATGATCCCTCATCCATGCTCTTCATAAGCAACCCTGATAAAACTGATTGGGTCTTTAAAAAAAGGCATGAAAGGAGAAATATCTATGATGCTATATTTTATTGTTTGTAACGGTATGCAATCATTCAACACTGTCTCCTCATTATAATCAATCCCCTTCTCTTCCCACACTATTGAAAATTAGTACTTATTCACAGGGAAATCCAAACAGCCCTACAGAAGAGTACATGACAAAATCCAAAAGATTTCATGTGAACTTGGAAGGTGAACACACTGGTCCTCCCAACCTAGTCAAGCCTGCAGTCGACTGCAGACTCACTGCCAACTCTGAGACAGAATCTCCCAGTTTAAACACCCCTGGATTCTCAGATCACAGAGACTCAGAGACAATGAATGTTCAGTAGTCACTGAATCTGGGGTTTATAACTGTTAGCTGGCATAACCAGTCATGCAAAGCAAGCTTAGGTCTGGGGAGGCATGTAGGTATTTGCAGGATTTTATTCTCATTTTGGATATCTCCTCAGTGGGCACCCCAACTTTGTACTTTGAATGCATCTTAAGTTACATCACAGCTTAAATGTAAACTTGCTCTGTGATGAAAAAAATTCCTAAGTCAAAACTTACCTTAGTCATTTTAAGGATAATTCCTATAATTCTAATTTGTAAATATCATCAAATTTTGTCTCTATCTTCTCTGTGTATAACAGTACCCTGACTAAGTGTCCAATATAATTTGTAATCTTATTCAATATTATATTGATAAGCTTTGGATAAAGTTTTAAATTTGTTCAATTCCTTAAGAATTTTTCTCTTCTTAAAAAAAAAAAAAAGGATGAAAGCTCTCCCTAGCCCGCACTGGCAGACTTACCGACTGATGGATGAAAGGCATGTCTTGTGTAGCTGCCAATCTACTGGAAAAACCTGTGCTACCATCGGGGATACTAAAATTCAATGGTTCTCTCTTCTTAATGACAATCTGAAACATAAATTATAACAGAATTACAAGGATAATCTACACAAAACCACATAGAAATAATTTATCAACATATTTGATAATGCTTAAATTGTGCTTGTTCGTCTTTATAATACACAATGCAGTAAGTTATTCTGTAAACAGTACCAAAATTCCCACGTTAATTATAACGTAAATCAGCTTCATATCAAGAAAACTTGTATCTCATTTTAAAAAATTCTTATTTTTTCCTTCTCCCTGTTTTATGAGGGTCCCTAAAATTTAATTAGGTACTTTAAATTACTAAATTAAATAATAACAGGTCTAATATGTTCTACCAAAAGTATACCTACCATCTTTAATATGTGGAATGGTATTAAAATTATATTTACTTGAAATATTGTAAATATCAGGAAAAGCACCATTAATCGAAATTAATGTAATAAGGCATGATATAATATACTAAATCCCAGCAATATATTTCCAAAATTTAAGATATACATCAACTGAGAAATTTGTTAAGTATCCTTCCTTACTGGACTATTTAAACACAGTTTAAAAACGAAAGAACACACATACGTGGGTGAAACTAAGAAAAAGACAGCAAGAAAACACATAAGGAGTGCTGAATAAAAAATACTTTCATGTTATATAAAATATATGAATCTATATATACATATAGACAAACATTTATGGAATGTTTCTGTATTTGAATAAAAAGCATGAATTTCTGAAATAGAAGAGCAGAATGGAGTAACAAGGCACTATTAGAAGGAGACTGAGGCAGAAACTCTTCATTTATCACACTATGGTGGAAGTGGACAGTATGCACGACTGGTATCAAGAAATAGCAGAATGTGATATACAAACAAGCAGAAAAGTTATTGAATGGCTACTTCTGGGAAGCAGAATTGGCTGAGTGATGAGACAAAGTCAGTCAGGGCTCATTATGAGCGCTTCAATATTCTCCTATTTTTGTAAAGGACAGAAAAACAGTCATTGTGCTCTTTCCAACACCTCTACATCTCTACGCAAGCTCATTTCAGCTCAAAAGGGAGTAAAGAACAAACGCTAACAAACTCACAACAACCCTACAGTATTCTACCAAGGACTGGTTGCAAGAGCTGTACATGGTGTATGATAGGAAATTAATTATTAATGTATAGATATCATCATATGTGGAACTTCTTAAAACTGCAAATTTTATTGGCTTAAGTTTCTCTTAGCAGAGACTAACACCTACTATCTGAGAGCCAACAGAATTTCTGGAAATACTTAGCTATGCTAGAAAACTTGGGAATATGTATTATTAGGTCTGTTTTAGGTCATGTGAATTACGTAGCATTTTTATTTAATCTTAGAGAAAACAAAGTGATACACAGGCTTTCTAATGGACACAATTATACTCTCCAGTTTTACTGAGGCTCTAGGAAGCATTCTAAACTCCAAAAGCACGAATCTTGCACGTACTTTCTGAGTTTTCCTGATAGTTGGTGTCATGTCCTTGAAATAGTCAGGCTCCAGCTGCTCCAGAGAGCTCTGCTGTGCTGCCACACTCCCATTCCCTCCTTCAATCTTGACACTGGTGGGGGCATCTTCATCCCAGGAAGTCCACTCCTCCACATCTGTCTAAATGTAATTGCTTGAACTGTTAGACACAAAAGGACAGCCTAACAGTCACCTCGACCTTTATTAGAGAAACAGGCTTTCTGAGACACTGGTTTTAAAACTTGTTTGAGCCACAGACATATATGCAATTCAAACCATACTCCAAAACTTCTTCAAGCAGGTGCTTTTGAAAACTGAGTTAGCATTACATGTACCGGCCACAAAGGGTGGACTGGAACTTTCCATTTAATCCTAACCAAACTAATCACCTGACTTAAAAAAAAGTCTCAATGTGATATCAAATGTCCAAAAAACAAGCCAGAATTTTCAATATCTCAGGAATCCGTGACTCTCAATTCACATGCAAAACTAATTACAAAATGGCAACCCCACGATGATATAAGTGTAGGATGCACATGAAAATTTAAATATTAAATATTTCATAAAAGTGGCAGGTACTGAAAATCAGTAGGGGAGAAATTAGATGTTACGATATCCATACAATATAATGAATTGAATAAAAGTAAACAAACGATAAGAAAATCACCAAGAATCCTGACCACCCAATCTTTTTGAAGTAGTTTATCTAGTGTGAAAAGCCGTGCTCTGGAGTACATGCTCCATCACAGACTACCTGCTTAGGGACAGACGAATAATCAACTGTGGTGGGCAAAGTTATTTGGTCTCCACTTAATTTCCTTCCTCTGCCAGATCTGAAAGAAACAGGATATACTTCAAGAAACACCCAGACAAGCATACATGAAAACACATTTTAGATAATAATTTACTCAGAAAATTTTCAACTTTATAATTATTTTTCAACTTTATAATTATTATTTTAAACAATAACTGCTCAGAAAGCTATGGTGAAAAGCATGACTCAGCAATCTTGCCAATGTTTCTCAAATCTTGGGCAAAGTAGCTCCTTTTCGGTTAGGATTAGAATTATAGACAAAATTATTGGATTTGGCATGAACTGAACATCAAACACAAACGCAAGCCCCTCTGAAGCCTGTGCTCCTCCAGTGTTCTGGAATCTGGAGATAAAGCTCTACACTACTAATCCGGAGGGACAGCTTTACATTTCACAGATTTCTTGGTAAAATTAAGTATTCAACTATCTAAAAGTTTGAAAATCAGGGGTTGGAGAGACGACTCAGCAGTTAAGAGCACTGATTGTGCTTCCAGAGGACCCAGGTTCAATTCCCAACACTTACATGGCAGCTCACAACTGCCTATAACTCCAAGATCTGACACCTTCACACAGACATACATCCATCCAAAACAAAACATATTTCAAAAGCACATGAAATAAAATAAATTAATTTAAAAAAGGAAAATTTTGAAAATCAATTAGCCAAACTAAACCAATTGATTTCTAAGGATTTGTAGAGAAATATTCATCAGGATATAATATCATTCAGTTGTTAACATGAGCTAAAGAATCCACACTGACAAGACTTTCAAAGCTACTTTACTGAGGCTAATGAGAACTAATTATCAGCTACAGTATCATAGCCACACTGCTAAGGTTCTTTTAAGGCTTGAACTGAGAAGCGTATTTAAAGCAGCTAGAATAACATCAGCTACACAGTGAGACATAAAACACAGTAGCTAAAAACCAGCAGTCTGGAACGCATTCCATTAGAGCGAACGGGGTTATTTTAGGACAAATTCACAAGCTTTATTTTATTCACTTTATTTTTATTCAAATGTATGAAGACAAAACTATTACAGCCTATTACAAAATTTATTCCACAAGTATGGAATTTTACAACACATAATCCAGCTTTGTTTTGACACCTAAGTTTACCCTAATAACAGAAGGTACAGTCAGTCCTAAACATGCTGACACTGACAACAGAAACTCATGACAACAAACAAAGCCCTTGATATGAAAGCAAATATTTCTTATCCTAACACTAACCTACACTGACTAGAGTTTTAGACACTGCAGACACGTGAAGACATCGACGGTCCATGACAATTGTTGACGACACCGTTTACTTCTGTCTGGTACTAGCATTTATTTACTCCCACCCTGCTTTCCCTAGTAAGTTTCTGCTCACTCTTCTTCATTCCCTGACTTGAACATTTTTTCACCAGATCCTCAAGGGTCAACCACTCCATTTCTTCCATATGTTTCTTGACTTCTCACCTCCCAGTGATCATTTCTACTCCACAGCATTTCATCAAAGGCTAACTTCTCAACAGGCTCAACCTAGTATTGTGTGTACATTCTAAAACCTACCCACTGAACAGAGAGCTGATTACCACTTACGCCCGCTTTCCTTCTACCCTACCTTAAATGTATCACTAAGCGTCTCTGGAAAAACTTACGCCAAAAGACCTAACAGCCTAACAGTTCCTCTGGTTGACAGCTTTTTGTTTTTCTGAAACAGAGTCGCTTTATGCAGCCCCTGCTGGCTCACAGAAAGTCACCTGCCTTTGCCTTCCAATGCTGGGATTAAAGGCATGGATCATTTCTGGCTTCAGTTCCACTGATTAAGACCTACACACAAACAATTCAGTACTTATATATGTCCTGAGTTCTCAGTAGCAAATTGAAAAGCTCAATACACATATACCTCTCTTTTCTTAACCCTCTAATTATGACCAAAAAGCTGAGAAAGAAGGAACGCAAATTTGAGGACAGCCTAAGCTACACAGAAATATAGAAGCCAGCCTGGGAAATAGCAACATCTTGTTTCAAAACAAGAAAAGGAAAAAAAGGGCAGAAAATAAAAATTATTATTTTTATTTGAAATAAAATACAATACTTTTGAAATATGTATGTCTTTTGGACATTTGGCCTCTGAAGTCGTCAATCAGACTGAATACGGCCACCCTCACTTTCTGCTCTACATTAATTTTGATGGCATAATGACTTTTAATTACACCCTAAGAACCTAGCTTTGTAATGCTATGTTACCAGCAAAGCTATAGACCCCAGTGCTGCACATACGAGCTGCCTGAATTTGGATTCCACCAGTGCTCAGCAGCTGCTGGCCAACCCAGCTCTGCGGGAACTCTCAACCCTGAGAACACGCTTCCGAATGTCACGGGGAGTCCCGAGGCACCTCGGAGTTGAGAAGCCGCAGCTGGAGTGTGCTATGTGGCGAGACAGAAGGATTTAGAATCTAAGGAAAACCAAATGTAGCCAACACTTTATTCTGGCCACACACACTTATCTTTTTCATAGTTTCTTTGTTTAAAGTTTCAAAACTACATTTTCATTTTATGAGTCTGTGTGTGTCTTATGTGCCTGTGCGTCATGTGCACACCTGGTATCTGCAGAGGCCAGAGAGGGCCCTGGATTCCCCAGAACTGGAGTTTAGAGATCTGTGAGCCACCATGTGGATGCTAGGAACCAAACCCAGGTTCTCTGCCAGAGCAGCAAGGACTCTAAGTCACTGTCATCACTCCAGCCCCTCTCTGTTGGAAGTTTTAAAAATAAATACAAAAATAGCATTTGTATAGAAATATACACGGAAATGCCTAAGCTTAACTTTGCCTAACCACTTCTAAACATTCCAAACATGAAAGAAGACATATTCTCTGTGATCATGGTACTATTTAACCTTGGTCTGTTTCTTTCCAAAATTTTACAGGACTAATTACTTAATATATTTAAATGGAAGATGTGAACATATGAAAGAACAAAACAACTGAAATCCTTTCTAGATCTGCAAAAATGTTTCGAAAAAGCACAGAGATTAATGTGTATTTTAAACAGGACAACTAGTTTAAATAAGATATCCATGTCTTTTGAAGTTAGGAAGTAATCTAAACCAACGAAGAGACAAACAGGTCAGTTTGAACACAGAAATCACTTACCTGCATATTAGTCTCTTTAGGAATGAGAACACTGTGGCTAGGCAGGTACAAACTTTAAATAACCGGAACTGAGTGACGGCCATGGCGAGAATGAGAGCCTGTGGGAAAGACAGGAACGAAAACAACACATGAGACACGTGGCTGAGGCCAGGCTCTTCCTTCGAATCCAAACTAAAATGTCCTTATGCACTAAGAGAAATCTGACATCTTCACTTTTCTCTAAAAGCTACAAATATAACATTAAATTCCAATACAATGTAAGTCATTTAATAGTTGTGAGGAAGAATACTCTTCACCCTCAGTCTCTAAAAAAAGGTTTGCCTAAACTAGTACAAATTTACTTACAATTTAAAAGCTCAAAAAAGGACAACATAGTATATATTAAACCTTTCTATACCTTTTAAAATTTGATTCACCTCAATATAGCACTGTGGAAAATATTTTCAACATTTTAACCTTGAGATACTCTCATTATTTCACAGATGGAGAAACTGAACTGAGTCGAGTCAGCTAACATGTTCTAAGCATAGCTAGTAAGTGCAGACAAAGGATAAAGCCCATCTAGTCCAGGTTTGCAAACTTAGTCATCTGTTCACAGAAACAGTGATGCTTGGGCCTGAACTTAGTAAATCTATTAATCCAGTCTCTGATGGAATAAGGACAAATCATACCCAACAGTAACTTGCAGGTTCTTAAAGATAGCTCATAATGAAGTTTCCTCAACTAAATGAAGTATTACATTAGTAGGTTAAAAATTAAATAATAATAAATATTTGCCTCTCATGATGGGAGGGGAGATATAGATGCATTAGGAAACTAAGGTCTGTATCTTAACCTAAGTGGTAAAATACGATTTGCTTTGTTGCATATATTATTTATATATTATACCGCAATATAAAAACTCAATACATACAGCCAAACAGTAAAGAAAAAAAAAACAGACGAAAACAAGAAAGCAAGGAAAACACACTAACTGTCACGGTCCTTGATCTTGACTGCTCTGTAGTTATTAACTGGCAGCTCCTTCTGAAGAACCACAGCTAGTACTTTCTGGTTCTAGGGTTAAAAGTAGAATGCAGACTGCTAAAGGTACAACGGAAAAGTTCCACAAGGTTCCCTTAGCAACGCCCATGTATTTTGTGCATATGAAGACTGCCTATCTTAACTGAACGGCCGATTCAATGTCAAAGGCTGGAGGTGGCTCACTGCTGAGCAGAGGCAAAGAACAGTGATGCTAAACGAAAGGGAACCAAGAGCACATTACCAATCTCCTTCTTCAAGTAACACACACACACACACACACACACACACACACACAATTTATGACAAATATCCCCAAGGTGGTATACTTGGTTTCAAAAACTGCAACAAAGTTGACTCCTTTTTCTCAAAGAATCTCAGAGATGCCAATGGCTTATAAGCATTATTTGGTTTCCCAATGTTGTCTATATTGTTTCCTACCCTCTTGGTGGAATAAAGTCTTCTTAACCCGTGTTTTTCCACTGAAAAACTTCACATTTTCTACTTCACAGCATAGTAATATCTATATACTACCTATGTGTCCTACCCAATACTTCTCTGAAGGATTTTTTTTAACTTGGTACGTTGTTATCATTTGCAAAATAAAATTTGAAAGAAATGTTTGATGCCTCATTATAAGTAGAATGAACAGAATATAATGGTGAATTAAGGCTTCATTAAAGTTGATTGGTCAAAAGTAAGTGTCAACAAATAGAAAAGCAATCTTCCCAAAGAGAAGTTTGAGTAAGCATTAATGCCCTGCACAGAAAATGGATGGAACTAAAGACCATAGTGCTGAGCAAAATAAGCTAATCAGAAAGACAAATACAGCATTTTTCCCCGTCGTTTGTACAAGCTAGATTTCCAATACAAGACAGGAAAATAGATGTGGTACTATTTGTAAGAAGATGGAGACCAGAACAACAATAGTAATGGGGGAAGGGGGTAAAACAAATTGCATTATAAAGGAATGAAATATAATGAAGCCCAGTAATTTATACAGACAATATACATTAATAAAAATTCAGGGTAAATTTTAAAAATATAATAAATTTTCAGGGCCAGGCAGTGGTGGCACACGCCTTTAATCCCAGCACTTGGGAGGCAGAGGCAGAGGCAGGCGGATCTCTGTGAGTTCGAGGCCAGCCTGGTCTGCAAGAGTTAGTTCCAGGGCAGGCTCCAAAGCTACAGAGAAACTCTGTCGAAAGAAAGAAAGAAAGAGAGAGAGAGAGAGAGAGAGAGACAGAGAGACAGAGAGACAGAGAGACAGAGAGACAGAGAGAGAGAGGGAGGGAGGCAGGGAGGGAGGGAGGGAGGGAGGGAGGGAGGAAGGAAGGAAGGAAGGAAGGAAGGAAGGAAGGAAGGAAGGAAGGAAGGAAGAAAGTTAGAAAGGAAGGAAGGAAGAAATGAATTTAAAAGGTAGCTTTATAGCTCAATGGTATATAACACTAGGAAAGGACATACAGCCAAAGAGATACTCCTGTAAGATTTTTTGGGAGGAAAAAAGACATTTACTATTTTGGTGCTGTGACAGGGCGCTGCCCTAGGCTGAGAACAAACTTCATTCAGTCTTGTAGCTACACTTCTCATACATTCCTAAGTGTCATTACTCAGTAATACCCATCACCCTGAATGACTCCAACAAAAAGTAGAAATAAGATTTCAAGTTTAAGTGAAAAACCAGAAAGTTGGATTACTACTGATTACAGAACAGAATTCCCTCTTAGCAATCAACAACATTCCGATTCTGTGAGAAATCTGCTTCTGTAATTAATGAAAGAGACCTAAAATTCACTAACCATTATGAACCAAGTACTACCTAAACACTTGCTAACTGAACCCACAGAACTTATTTCTAGTGAAATAGATATTTTCCTCATCTAATAGAATAGAATAAGCACATTTCCACACTCCTACAACAGCTCACATTGAAACCTACATCGATTTAATTTGAAAACCAAGAACAAACTGGTCTCAAACATCCTCAGTAATCAGGGGAGATATAATTCCAGGATAAAATTTCCAACCAGTTTCACGAAAATGGGGAAAATGTACCCAAGCTATTAAGTAACACTTTATCAATTACACTGACTCGTAGACAAATCTTACTCAGGACTCGTACATAACGCTGCAAATTCAAAGGGATGGATATATTGGCACACACCCTGTAACATATGCTACACTCGAGAGGAGAAAACACTTCCTGCAGAGAAACCCTCTTTGCTACTCCGTGGTCTTGAGTTTCTACATCTACTTTATTCAAAAGAAAAAAAGCCTAGAAAGACAAGACCCCACCAGTGTGCCTCGGTTTCTTATCTCTAAATCTTGGGCAGTGCCAGCATTTATGCACTCAAATATTTCCTGAATGAAAAAGAACCAGCATTCCTTGGGCCGTAACATGTTCGGGATGTAGTCCAACTGTTTCACCACTCCCAGGTAACAGACGAGGGCCATAACTGGCCTGAGTAATTTAGACAGGTTAAACCAGGACTAACTGGAAGAGATCCCACGGCCTGGCTTCCCTTACATATTCCGTTTGAAATGATTTTAATCGTATACATATCGCTACAGTCTGGTTTCTAAAATACCCTACAGATCATCAATTAGAAAAATATTTGGGTCTACTTTGTAATTTGGGTGCTTTAAAATGCTTTCTAGAGCCGGGCAATATTGAAATAACCTACTACCAAAATTCATGAATTAAAGAACATTCCTTAAAATGACTAACAAAATTCACAAACGATATATGACAGAGGAAGAATTTTGAAAAAATGACATCTCCGATCAAGCAATTAGGATGAGAGGTCTGTTGTGCCAACTGAGAAAGATCTCTCAATAGCTGGGGTGGGAAGCCTAAAGAAAAAGAATCTTGCATGAAGTCAATCCCTCCTTGTGCTCAGTGATCACATCCTGGAGTAAAGATCCATCCTACAATTCATTACACCAAGTAGTGATACCCACTCAACGGGTCATTTAGTGCTGTACTTCACAACCCGAGCCTTATCATACAAACACTCCAAAGTCCTAGGATCTACAGCAGCACAGAACAGACTCAAAGGAAGTCCCGAACTCGCTGAAGTTAAAAATCCCAAAGGTTCCAATGAAAATCCCCCTGCACCCAAAACAGGAAAAACGATGGGTCGCCAGCAGAGGCAAGTAAGCAGAAACAGCAGCGCTGTTTTGGCAAGCTGGAGGTAAAAATCGTCTCTGTACCATCGGGCCTTCGCATGTGACCCCGCTGGCAAAGCCATCTAGGTGGGCCGTCTTCTGAAATGACTCCGCGGAGAGTTTCCTAACTGAAATCATTTTCACTTTCGCATGACCCACCTAGAATCTGGCCGACGGGGGAAAAAACGAAAATCATACCCACTGCACAGATGAGCAAAACAACACGCGAGCTTTCTGGTTACGCAACCCCACGCCCGGCGGCGGGCGTCATGCGAGGCGCTCTACGCCGCAGGAGGTGGGAGCCAGCAGGGTGGGCTGAGATTCGGAGGTTGGGGACATCGGGCCTCGGAGGTGCGAGGCCCGGAGAGGGAGGACAGGAAGGAGGCGCATTGCCCTTGGGGAAGACTCAACACGGGGCTTTTCCGGGTCGGCAGCGCACAGGCCGGTGTCCCAGGCGGTGCGCGTGGCATGGCGAGGGCACACGGGCTCAGCCGGTTCCTAGCCACGCCGGGCTCGCCCCACAGGTCACCCTGACCCGGAAACAATCCCCCCCTCCCCAGGGGTGGCCCGGCGTGGAGGAGGTCGCTGGAAGAGGACCGAAGAGGAAGGCGGCAGGGCAGGAAGAACGGGACGACCCAGAGGGAGACCACGGGTGGTCGGGAGGCGGGTGGGGTCGAGCCAAGCCCCCCTCGCGGGCGGGCAGGCGCGCGCAGGCCGCACACACTCACCTGCCCCTCCCCC